GGTTCACAACATTTTTATCAATATCACTTGCTTTTAAATGATAAGACAGTCCCTAACCTTTAGTTTACTCTACCTAAACTGAGCTGTTCACATGTGTTAAAAACAATTTGATTTTTAAAGGTCCCCTGACATGAAATTTTAATTTTCTGAGGTTTTTTAACATTATTATGAGTTCCCCTAGACTGTATTTGGTCCCCTCGTGTCTAGAATTTTCAATCGGTGTAAACTGAGCTTTGGCTATTTTTCTCTTCTCTGCATCCGTCTGCATCTCAGACGCACTGATCTAGAATCTCCCCAATATAACGTCATACGGGGGAAAGGTTACTCCCCTTTCTGTGCTTTTCCCGCCCAGAGACCGACCATGAGAAAACGAGCTAGGAACAGGAAGTACGAACAGGCGCAGGTGCGATTTTAGTTTTTCCTAGAGAAATAGCTTTGAGATTTGAGTTTTTCCTCGAGAGATATCATGGCTTGCAAACGAGCGAAGCATGGCAGTTGCTCAGTGTTCGGATGTACAAATGAACACAAAAGTATTTTTAGTTCCTTCATCCGCACCTCTGAAGAAACAATGGTTTAATTTTATTTTCTCTGGAAATGCGCCGACTCAACTCCCAAAGTTTTGTATGGTCCAACAGGCAGGAGACAGGTTAGTTAATCTTTCTCTCAAAATCATTCGATACTGTTTATGCATCAGTAAGTCAAGCCAGACTATTATCAACTTCACATCGTTTCTTTGAGTAGGATGAAAATAATCTTATTTAAAGAAAGTGTTTAGGATTGATATTCTAAACTAGGGGTGTCCAAACTACGGCCCAGTTTTTATTGGTACGCAGCAAATTCTGAAAATATAATTGAATATGGCCCACACAAGAAATTGAGCTTAACTCTTCTCTGCACTTCTCAGTTTTAACACTAGATGGAGCCAGGCAGCCCGCCACAGAAACGGTGCTTCTCGTTACAGCTAGAAAAACTTTTACCGCGAGTCACTAAAAATGGCAGCACCCAAGAAACGAAAAATAGCAAATGAGTGTAGAAGATTTCAAACACGGTGGGAAAATGAATATTTTTTCAAAGAAATCAACGGAAAGTGTGTCTGTTTGATTTGCAAAGAAGATGTTGCTGTGATGAAAGAATGTAATGTCCGTCGGCACTATGAAACCAAACATCAGAGCTACACATCGTACACCGGTGCTGAACGAACACAGAAAGTCGAACAAATGGCAGCCAGCCTGCAACAACAGTTTTTTTCAACAACAGTTTTTTTTCTTCGTACTAACAAAATACAGGAAAACGCCACAACAGCAAGCTATTAAAGCTCTGTGCGATATGAACTCTGACCACTTTGCCCGGGAAAGCTTCTGGAATGCCTTAAAGGTTTTTACAAGTTCCTCGTCTCCAGCCATGAGAGCATGGCAATGACTTGACTACTGAGGCTATGCCAAGCACTCTTTTCCTACCTTGGTGTTCATCGCCTGCTTGCTTTGAAGAGCACCTTTTTATATGTCTCCAAAGCTCTGTTCTCAAGAACATTCCTTTACAGTGGATGCAGCATTCATAGTTTTTATCGCAACTTTTGCCCTTTCGCGTTACTTTAAGTGAACCACCTTGTTTCATTATGTTACAGTTATGCATAATATTTACCCTGTTACGAAGTTGCTCAAGCAACGTCTTCCTCAGCCTTGAGCCTCCTGGTAGACTAAGAGCCTGTGTCAGCATCTTCCTTCACATGTTTTAAAATGCCGGGCAAGTTTGGAACTGGCCTTTTTACACACAAAACAGAAATTATTCCATCCTCCTTCTACAATGGCTGTGTTGTCTATTCTTTGTTCAGTAACTCTGATGTCACTATTAGTGTTATCCAAGTTTGCTCTGTTTGAGGGTTTATCATCTTCTGTATCAGATTGTGATGGTGAAACATATTCTGGATCACCAATTTCATAATCCGTTTCCTCCTCTTCACTGATTTCAGGTCTGTTTTGTTCAAAGTACATAAACGTACTTACAAAAACAAATGTTTTTGGGGTCCTTGAGATGTTCTGACATGCCCTGACATTTGTGTTTTTTTTCAGCTGCTTATAAACCTATTAATGGCACAGGTGAAATTACACTATATTTAGCACAAACAGGGCTACCATAATATGTGAGTGTCACGGGGTGAGAAAATTCTTTTTTTTTAATCCTAGGCGGAACCAATGTTTGCCGGGAGTTGCCTCCCGCCGGACCCATAACAATGGGACACCGAGCTAGTTCCGGGGTAGCACGAACAATCCCCGAGAACGGGGTAATCAGCAGAAGATCGCTGGCAGCTGTGTATGGGGAAGAACAAGCCTCGTGATTGGGACACATCATCTCAAAGGAATATAAAAGGAGGAAGTAGAGACTAAACGATGCGTTGCTTTTGGGGAACAGTGTTCCCGTGAGTGAGCCATGGTGAGGAGGAAGGGGGGCCAACAGACGGGTGTGGGGCTGTGAGTTGGGAGAAAGAGGTAAACATGGGGCTGAAGATCGTTTGTGAGAGGGAGTGAGTAGTCCAAATCAATTTCCACCCTCCTCTCTTGTGTCTGTGGGACATCTTGATGTGAAAGCCAGGTCAGAAGATGGGCAACGGCCATACATATGTGTATTTTCCCACTGAGTGCTGAATTGCTGAGATGAAGTGATGTGATGCACTGCTTGCTGTGTGAAGTGTGAACCTAAACCCGCTGGATGTCCATTTCTTACCTGAGTTTTCTATCACATTCTGACTGCATGAGAAGAGGCTAACACTGTTGTACTCCACAGACCATTGAGTGTATTTATCTGGCAGCCCGCTGTGAAGAGACACGTAGTGAATGTGTAACCGACTGCTTTGCAGTGAAGAGGATGACATGCCTGTATACTCACACCCGACTGCTTCGTAGTGGAGACCTTCCTGGTTTCCACGTCAGCGTGGTTTGATCTGTTAATAACGGAGAAATGTGAATGTTTCTCACTAGATCTCGCAGCGATGTTATTACTTCAGTGGTGAATTTAAATGTTTTCTTTCTGATTTCGCTGTGTAGTAACAGTGCTGATGAGATCATTTTGATTGACATAAAGATCGACGCTCGCTGCATTGGTCCAAACTGATAAACGGTCCATCAACCACACAATAACGAGTAGCTCAGTTTCGTTCCGCTTACATTACATTTGCCATTTGATATTGGGCAATGTTGATGTATGAGCGCGCTTGCCACGCGCCTACATTTGAAATAACAAAATGTTGGTCGGCAGGAAAAATGGTCCAACAAACCGTTCGGTTTACAAATGTGTACTGAACGGTTCAATACGAATAGGTGTATCGTTACACCCCAAATACATATACATATACAGTATGTGTATATATATATATATATATATATATATATATATATATATATATATAATAATTTTGAAAAAATACAAGTATATATATGTATATATATTAGGGGTGGCACGGTTCACGAAACCGACGGTTCGGTTTGTATCACGGTTTTAGTGTCACGGTTTTCGGTTCTGTACGGTTCTTGTTATTTTTTTTTCTTTTAATCTTTAACACTCCAGAAATGTACTTCAGCATGTGATATATAGCTTAATTATCCACACTTTTGGATACAGTATAAAAAAAAATTATATTCATGCAATCATGCACAAACTGAATTTGACTCTTTGACTTTTGGGACTATCTCAGAGGAAAGCTAGGTGAGATTTTGATACAGCAAGAGAGAAGACATTGACATGCTTTTCGTTTATTTGGCAAAAAAAGGAGAATGTGTATCACTATCTCAACAAGAACTTGTGCATTTTTATCACAAAAATCTTATACACAAAGAAATTAACTTGCATTTATCAACTGACAACTTTTGTAGCTCTTACCAAAATTCTATCTTTTAAAAGAAAAAAGAGGAACTACACTGTCTTTTATGAATAAGTCAATATACATGAAACCTCATTGCCTATTAAGCTATAGCAATAGCAAAGGCCATAAACATAAAGTGAAACATAAGTTCAACCTCAACACAAAAAACAGTATCAACAATGCTTCTATTCCCAAAAAGTGAGGGTACCTTTTTTTCACTTGAAACTAAAGTGCAGGATTTGGAAACATATGACTGGAGCTCTTATCTAAACATAAAGTGCCACTGTAACGTTATATTAAAATATCATAACATGAAATCCAAAATGTTCCCACACACCGGACTTATACCATAGACTTATACGACGCTGGCGCATCCTTCAACTCCCTCATCTCTCCCACTTGCCATTTCTCCGCGTGCCGTGACCTGCAGCGCTCCATACTCCACTTTTACTGGCTTGTTTACTAACTTGAACCGGCGTACAGAGCGATCGGTAATGACATCAAATACCGCGAAAGTGAGTGACGGAGCCGTCGTTCTCGCACTAGTTTGATGTTATTCACCGGTCGCTCTGTGCAGCGCCGGTCCAAGTCCAACAAGCTTATGTCGCGCGAAAAGAAAACACACGTCACATACGGGCACGAGGGTACATTGCGCATGCGTCGAACCGTGAGACGCACACACGCTCCGAACCGAGACAAGCGAACCGAACGGTTCGGGTGTTTTTTCATGTACCGTGCCACCCCTAATATATATATATATATATATATATATAAATATACATACTTGTGTCCAGAATTATGTTTTATTTCCTCCAAAACATGTTGGCCACAATTATTCATACCCTTTATTAAATACCTTTTTGCAATTTCCTTTTGCCAAGATAACTGCTCTGAGTTTTCTGCTATAATTCCTGATGAGTTTGGAGAACACCTGGCAAGAGATCAGTGGACCATTCCTCCATACAGAATCTCTCCAGATCCTTCAGATTCCCAGATCCATGTTGGTGCTTCTTCTCTTCAGTTCAGACCACTCATTTTCTATATGGTTCAGGTCAGGGTCTCGGACGGTCATGGCAGAAGCTTCATTTTGTGCTTAGTTACACATTTTTGTGTTGATTTTGTGTTGATCCGTGGCCGTCTACATCTGCAAAGACTTGCGCCCATATAGTGTTGTTGATAACGTAGACTTTAAATACATGGTCAACACACTTGAGCCACGCTACGTTACACCTACGCGCAAACACATCACAGAAGTGGCCATACCAAATCTTTACGTGGAGGTTAAGACGGAGGTTTTGGAGTCCTTAATGTCGGCGGAAAAAGTGGCGATTACCTGCGATGGCTGGACCTCCAGAGCGACTGACCCGTACGTAACAATCACGTCTCATTTTATTTCAACTGATTGGGTCCTTGTGTCGAATATCCTGCAGACCAGAGCGCTCTTTGAAAGCCACTCAGGGAACAATATTGCTAAATTGCTCACCAAGTCAATGAATGAATGGGGCTTGAATGACAAAGTGTCAGCAATTGTAACTGATAACGCAGCTAACATGCTACGAGCGGTTGGACTGACAGGAATATTGCACATTGGCTGTTTTGCACATGTCCTAAACTTGGCATTACAGGCCACTCTCAAGTTGCCTGCAGTATCAAGGCTTCTAGGAAGAGTGAGGCGGATCTCTGCATTTTTCCACCGGAGCACCATAGCTAGCCACGAACTAAAAAAAAACAGAAACTGCTGGACCTGCCACAGCACAAGTTACTGACCGATGTTCCAACGCGTTGGAATAGTGCATTTGACATGGCGGAAAGGTTTTTAGAACAGCAAGCTGCTATCTCTGCTGCACTACTTGCCCCTGAGATAAGAAAACAAGAGAAAGATCTGAGCTCCCTTACAGAGGCAGACATAACAGCAGCAGAGGCTGTTGCATTGGCTCTGAAGCCACTGAAGAAAGCAACTTTAGTCATTTCTCAAGAAGGAACCCCAACTCTCTCGGTCATCGCACCTCTGAGAGCAAAACTTCTGGAAGAGATGCATCCAGCCCAGAGTGATCCTGTGATGGTGAAGGAGATGAAATCTGCTGTGCATCAGGATCTCCAGAAAAGGTATTTATTATCAGTGTGACGCTTTATTCTAAGACAGTTGTTTTGTATTATGCTAATTTCATAATGATAATTTTTTGTAATAGAAATCTATTGTTTATTTTAAGGTACACAGGCTTAAAGGAACAACTTTACTTAGCTTCTTCCCTGGACCCATGTTTTAAGTCCCTGCCTTTTTTGACTGATGATGAGCGTGAGGAAGTCTTCACCCAACTCACTGATAACACTAAGACACTGGCAACGGAAAAAAGCTCAGTAAGTGCTGTATAGTGTGAATAAAAACATTATGTATTTTTATTAGTAGTAATGATACACAGCAATTATGAATTTAAAACTAACTATATTATTTCAAAAAGGGTGATAACTATTTACAACACAATTCCTTTTCTTTCTCAACAGAGTGGACCAATAAATGCAGAGGCCAATGAAGCAGAACCAGCTGAGGACTCTGGACCCCCATCCAAGAAGAAAAGAGACTCTTGCGCATTGGCAGATCTCCTTGGGGAGACATATACTCCAGAAGCGGACTCCATAAAAACAACAGATGATGCAGTAGATGAGGTGATGAAGTACAAAGAGGTAAAACCAGTTCCACTCAGCACTAATCCACTTAGCTGGTGGAAGGAGCATGAGGTGGAATTCCCTCTTTTGTCATGCCAAGCTAAGCAATACCTCTGTATTCCTGGTAGTAGTGTACCAGCTGAGAGTCTTCTCAACTGCTGGTGACATTGTCCCTGCCCAGAGAAGTGCACTGACGCCTGAGCATGTAGACCAGCTGCTGTTTTTGAACAAAAACCTGCATGTGCACTAGTTAGATAACAAATGCTTCAGAGTTAAGTTAACTGGAGTTAACTCAGTTAACATGTTGTTATATATATATTAGGGATGCACCGAATATTCGGCCACCGAAAATTTTCGGCCGAAAATGGCCCAAAAGTGCATTTTCGGTTTTCGGCCGAAAGACTTTTATCACCGAAACAATACGGCCGAAATGTTGTGATGACGCAAACAGAAACCGTGACCTGCACGTGCTTGTCTGAAGCAACATGTTTGCGGTGCGGACGTATTTCAGTGAATCTGAACCCGCGAGGAGACGGAAGCCTTGTTTATCCACCTATATCTGCTCTAAACAATGCGCGCCGCCATGACAACGACTCCGGATGCGAGCGGGTCAAGTATAAACTGTGGAGACTCGCGCTGCGGAGGTAGGCGAAAGTATGCGCGAGTCTCCTCAGACAGCGCGCACACCGCTCCAAACGGTCGAGGCGTTTATACTGGACCCGCTCTCCGTCGTACTATTCCTTGAAACGACAGGGGACGACTCAAGTAACTGTCCTCTAACCATTAGGAATCGGTGAGAAGAAGAATAATCATGTAAAACCCAGTAAACTCTGAGATTATTACTTGTGTGACATTACAAAAAAAATATATATGGGAACATGTATGTATAGAACTAAATTAATGCTCTCTTAAATATTTTCTACATTCACTAAACATGTTTCGTTAAGTTTCATGTACATTTGTATTAATCATGGACCTTTGTTCATTTAAAAAGGCTTTTTATGCTATTGTATGCTAAATTTTTAAAATGTAAGAAACTAATTTAGACGTGCAAAGGGTGCTGGTGTGATGAGAAGAAGTTCGCACTCGGCTTTGTTTTTATGAGAGAACATTTAATTTTAAAACCTTTCTGCAGGCCATTAGATTATTATTTAATGTACACATGAGTGGGGTCAAAAACATTTTACTTTGAATTTTATTTTATACTGTGCATTGTGCTAAATAAATATTTGCATAATTTGTAATTGATTTATTCTTTGAAAATTTTATATTAATTTATGCAATTGCAATGCCTTGATTTTAGTAACGTTTGTACACAGTCATAGCCATAAATGCAATGATACTGATAATTGGCATAATTTCTTTCGGTTTTTCGGTTTTCGGCCTTGGTTTCCTCTTTTTCGGTTTTCGGTTTCGGCCAAGAATTTTCATTTCGGTGCATCCCTAATATATATTGTTCTAAAATGTTATGAGTTATATGATGGAAATGTCTGTAGTGTGTCCTTCATTTAGACACAGTAAATAAGCCAAAGGTTCTCTGATCAGATGTTAAGTGTTATTTATTGTTTACAAAATTATAATATTGCACTTTTTTGAGTATGCACATTTGTGCTTCTGTTTACATTTCTTGAACTTGAATGTATAGGAAGAAAGAAATATCCTTTCTACTAAGTTACATGCACTTTAGAGGTGTTGTTAAAGCACTGTACAGTGCTTGTTACAGTTTTGTTTGTATTCAACATTTACAATATTTTACAGTTTATTCTGCTGAATAAATAAACCATGACAGGAAACAAACATGCTGGGGTCAATTTGTTCTTTAACATTGGTAATACTGCAAACATTATTTAAAAATATACTCAGGCACTTAATTGTGTATTTACTTATTATTGAATCGATATCGAAGCTAATAAATCAATATTGAATCGAATCGAAATCGAATCGAATCGAAGTCCCAGGAATTGAAATCGAATCGAATTGTGAAATTCCTAACAATACCCAGCCCTAACCATTATGAATGAAATTTAAGACCTACATATAAAATGTACAAAGGAAACGCAGAGTCTCAAAATTATAATTTAATTTATTCAAACTGAACATTCGTCGAAAATCAGCACTAACGATCCCGTGATTTTGGAAATTCAGTTTCTGTTTTTAAAAAATCCCCTATTCCAAAGTGCGTAATGTATGCCATTTTATCTGTCCCGCACCTGAAGGATTTAGCGATGTCAGAGTCCAGAAACATAGTTAAACTAGGCAGGGTAGAAGTAACATTAGTGCTGGAGACGCCAGATACTTGCAAGAACTGGCAAGAACCCTTCACAGCAGTTAGATATTTATCACTTTTTATGCAATATTTCCGGGTGGCAGAACGCGAGCGGCTTCTACTGATCAACTGAAGAGATCCAGTCGTCAACTGAACAGTTACATAGTTAAAATCATTGTTGTTGATCAAAGTTGAAACGATGGCGAAAACGTGTTGTGTTTGGGGTTGCGCCGCCAGATATACAGCAAAATGTAGGTTTTTTTTTATCGATTTCCTTCAGAAAAAGTAAATATATCCAACCTGTGGGTGAGGAGGTTAAAGCGAGTGGACGTCGTCAAAAGTAGTGCATGTCGTCTTCTAATTATGAGCCTGAGTCTGATTTAAACCCAACCATTTTTAATACGTGGGTCGTTATATTACTGACGTTCTCAACTAACTTACTTTCTATTTTACTTTTTCCCGCCCGCAACATTTATGCTTTGTCCCGCTGCCGCCGACAAATAGACCTTTTTTTCTGTACCTCCAAATTCTTTCAAGTTAGCCTACGTGTCGCCATCATACACATCAGCATAAATGCTCCTGATGAACTATTTGTTATTAAAGCTTTAACACACAAACCACTGTTATGACATAAAAGGTTGCTTTTAAAAAACAGTCTAATAAACTGGTTGCGCTCCTAAAAGCCGACATCAGTTCATCGCGATCATACATCTCTGTTATTATCAATGAAGCTGACTGCACAATAAATCTTTTATAATACAGTTGTTTGTTATAATAAGAGGATTTGCCAGCATACAGAATTCAGCACTGAACAAAAAGTCAGTTTTGAGCGGTGAGGAGTCCATCGTAAATGCTTCTGATTGGCCATTGCGTTAAATAAATCCACACGTCTGTGATTATCTACATCGCTCATCGCTGCAGTCATGTTATAAAAAGAAACTCTGCCATGTAAATCATTTCTACTTTGTTTTAGTTGTTATTGTTGCTTTTCTACAACAGATGAATAAAAATGTATTAGTTTTTATTTGTTTTATTCATAGATATTTCTAGTTTCGCGAATAGTTTTATTCTCCTGCAATCCACACACACAGAGTGAATGCATTACCGCCCCGCCCGTGCTCGCACTCGGCCATCAGATCTAGTCCCGCGCCGCGGTCTAGTGCGTTAGGAGTGCACGTCTCTAGATCAAAGAATAAGCTCTAATGATCATGTTAACTATGTCTAAATTTCCATCACGTCTGTTTTTGAATCAACTGTTGAAATGTAGATTAGGCTACTGCCGACGGTGTGTCTCCCTCCAAGCAATTTACTAGTGTTGCCATAGGGACGCTTCGGCTTTTGCCACCCGGAAGAACGTCTATTATTGTTGTGACATCATGGTGAATTGTCGTATACACACTATAAAAACAAATATTTATGTTAGATGCAATTAATCAATTCGACATCATCTGATTCCTAAGGTGATACATGTCTGTGAAACTGATTCCACACTTATGACCAGTGTTGGGTAAGTTACTCAAAAAAAGTAATTAATTACTAGTTACTAATTACCTCTTCAAAAGTGTAATTAGATTACTGTACTAATTACTCTCTCTAAAAAGTATTTAATTACTTTTAATTACTAATTACTTTCAAAATCCCATATCATTCTCAACCAGCTGAATAATACAAGGATAGACATGAATCTGTTTTAATTCTTTCAAATAAATACTATAAAATTACAATTATTCTTAAACTTAAAAGGTGGAGAAGGTTACATTATAAAAACATACTTTTTAGCATCAGACAATACATTTTGATGTTAAACCCACTATTGTTTTCTGTCTGATCTCATGACATTTCACACTTTTTTTCATACATATTTTACAATAATTCATACGAATTTGTACGGGTCACCTCATAAAATGCATACAAATCGCTGTGAGATCGGATTGATCTATACACAGTATTTACCTCAATTACATCAGAAGTAATTGTAATTAAATTACTGATAAATGAAGAGTAATCCCTTACTTTACATTTTCAAGGAAAAGTAATTGAATTACAGTAACTAATTACTTAGTAATTAGTTACACCCAACACTGCTTATGACACAGGTCTCTCATACATACTCATGTGGCACTTAAGTGAATTATTAAGACGTCTTAAAATTGTCCCGTTTGATTGAAACGATTTCCACACTGAATGCACACGTCGGGTTTCTCAGTTTCTCTCCTGAGTGAATTCTCCTGAAGTGTCGTTTAAGGTCTCCGCTTTCATAAAAACTCTTTTCACACTGAGGGCATGCGAAAAGCTTCTCTCCAGAGTGAATTTTCATGTGCCTCTTAAGGCTTTTTTGATGAGTGAATCTGTTTCCACACTGCTGGCAGGTGAAAGGGCTCTCTCTAGTGGGGTTCCTGCCTTGAACGATTGTCTCTCCAGTGCAATTTCTCATGTGCCTATGAAAGTTTCCTGTATCACTGAAACTTCTCCCACAATGTTTGCAGGTGTAGGGCCTCTCTCCAGTGTGAGTTCTAATGTGGAGATTAAGACTTCCTTTCTGTTTGAAACCCTTTCCACAATGAGGACATGTGAAAGGCTTCTCTCCAGTGTGAACTCTCATGTGGACATTAAGGTTTCCTTTAAAACTGAAACTCTTTCCACACTGTTCGCAGATGAAGGGACTTCCATTCCTTGCCCTTTGACCTCTTCTTTGTGAGGAAGTATTTTCAGTCTGTGAGCAAATGAAAGACTTTTCTCCAGTTGTGAAATCATTAAGATTCGTACATTGATCTTTCTCTTCAATTTCATTGAGTACTTCAGTCTCCACTTTCAGCGCCATCGTCTCTAAAAAGGAAAAATTCAAGTTAACCCCACTTTAATGGCACAAAGCAACATACAGTACACTGTTCTGATACCATCTGAATTGTAAAAAGCACTATATAAATAAAGGTGACTTGACAATATAATCAGGACATGGATGCGCCCACGCGATCACTTGCATCGCTCATGAACTGGAGCTTGTCTCAGTGTAAAGGCGACTTCACAGGCATGAGAAATATATCTGTACAGGGCTCCAGACTAACTTTTTTCACTAGGAGCACAATGGCCCCCAACTGAAATTTTTGGGGCCACAACCAGAAAATTTAGGAGCACACACCGTAAACCAACATACTAACCAAATATTCACATTTCTACCAATTTCCAGTGTATTATTTAAAAATACTTTGCTAATAGATGCAGAAATTACAATGCCTTTGCGCTCTGATTTAACGTTAAAACCTCCTGTCTTCTAAAAGCCACCGGCAGTGGCGTTGCTTTTTGATTTATTAACATGTCACCATTGCACATTGTTCGCCACCATTTCACCACACACACCTCTCACTCTGAATCATCTTCCGACTGTGACGCTGTACTAGGCCTGCAACGTTTCCAATAGCTCACGGGTTAGTCTGTATCACGGTTTTAGGTTCACAGTTTCGGTGTGTGCTATGTTCAGGGAAAAACAGACTACTGTCAAATAAAATAAAGAAACAAATACAGGGTTTCAGACTGCGACCATTTTTTGAGAATGTGCGAGTTAAAATTTAATATGGTCGCATATGTGCGAGTGGACGCTCGCGCAACAGAACGCCGTTGTATCCGCTGCTGCAGTCCGTAACTTATGATCAAAATGAACGAGTAGGCTACATCATGAATCCATTTTCCAAACCGTGTTTTTGACTTATCCAGAATCACTACGGTACGCCTATAATAAATGTTTACAACGTTTTAATGGGTTTCAATAGGCTATTTTTGGTCATTATTTTATCTACACAGTGTGTGTTATTCATATTTTGCAAAATGGGATCAATTTTTTTTACATGAATCCAAAAAGTCACAATTTTGCCAAATTACATACCATTTGCATTAAAGCAGCCAAAATGGTCAAAGAAATTGACTGCAAATGAAAATGGTCAACTGCAAATGACCAAAAATGTCCCTAATGCAGCACAAGGGTTAATAAGTATCAAATATCTGAGTTCAGATTTGAGAATGAAATCAACCTGTTTGTTCCTCAGGATCTTCATCTTTCATTCTGAATTCAATCTTTACATCTTCACTCTCCTCGTTATTAAACGCCATCTTTGTTTGTTCCTCAGGATCTTCATGTTTCACTCTGAATGTGTCTTCAATCCTCATCTCTTCACTCTCCTCGTTATTAAACGCCATTTTTGTTTGTTCCTCAGGATCTTCATCTTTCACTTTGAACGCATCTTCAATCTTTACATCTTTACTCTCCTCTTTAATAAACGCCATTTTTGTTTGTTCATCAGGATCTTCATGTTTCACTCTGAATGTTTCTTCAATCCTCACCTCTTCACTCTCCTCTTTAATAAATTCCATCTTCATGTCTTTAGTCTCCTCTTATAAACTCCATCTTTATAATTGTGCGTCACGTGGATCTCAGTCACTTCACTAGGGTTTTTTCTGTGTGTTTGTCCTGTTTAAGATGAGAATAATTAGCAGAAAGACAAGTCAAACCAAACTAAATCCCGTCTCAATCAGCTCTAGTTCAGTTCATTGGTCAGAGTGAATGAACTTAAATGATCTGAAAAGACGAAAATAAACATTTGTAGCTAATACATTTCATATTTATTGATTTGCAGATTATATTTAATACTACACGTCACTTTTAAGAAAACATGTTTAGTTTGTATATTTGCACCGTTCTGAGCAGCTGGTGACGTCAACATGCGGCGATTCGAATCACTGATTCATTTTTTTCGAAACAATTAATTCAACTAAAGAGTCAGATGAGTTTATCTTATCATAACAGAGATGTCTTATTATATTCCTCACCCTAATGTAATTCAAAATCTTATATTATCTTATATTAATCATCGAATGACTTTGATCATGAGGCTTGTTCGACTTGAACCAGCGCTGCACAGACCACTCGGTGGATAAGTAAGTTAATTAAAGATCCAAGTACCGCGAGAGTGATTAGACGGCTATAAATTACAATGTTAAATTTAATAATTAGGTTATCCTACAACATAAGTAAAACTATAAAAATGCCCAAACGGTTTGTCTCGATTTAAACAGTAAAATGCTTAAAAACACAAACCTGGCTTTCCTCAGCCGAATCTCAACAGATGCAGGAGCGCGACGCAGCCTTATGACGTCATTTACATACTCCATAATAAAAGTCGCGTTGCTTTTCCCTACAGTCTTCTGTCTACTATATATATATATATATATATATATATATATATATATAGGAATTGGGTTTAGTATTTCATTACTTGGGAGAAATATTTAAATATTCAAGTTTATGCATGTGCCAGTATTGAAGCATATATAGAGGTTAGTTAACAGTTAACTTAACAAATATTAACAGTTCATCAAGCCTTTGCACTACAAGCATAAGTATGGTTTCATTTGAAAGCTGACACTTGGTGTGTCCTCAAGTCAGAACTAATTATTGCTAGAAATAAAATATTGTTATAAAGACCTTAAATGTTTTGTAAAGTTGTTAAAAATGAATTTCATGAAACAATTTTATGAAATTAAAATTAAAATTGACCTGGCTGCAGTCGATGATTGTACAGTAGCCAAAGCCAAATGACTAATCAGGTTTTATTTCATTTACCTTTATATTCAATCATTAAATCATTATATTTAATCTGCATTATCCAAAGCGACTACAAATGAGGAGAACTTTGCGCATCTATGTGTTTCCAATCATGCACTAAATATGGACTGATCAGAAAATAACTACACAACCACAGCTGTATAACTGCCCAACAGCAATACTGCTTTTTTTTATATGTAACCACACCAGCCAACATTACCGCAATCGCAAATTCAAATGTGAGATAGTTGGGGGTTCAGGGGCATATAAACTCTTGCGAGAATATCTGGATTTCTCAGACCTACATGTGTGCATTTTAAGGTGTATGAAGGTCATTATAATGAGATAACAATAGCTTTAAATGCAAGTCAGTGGACAGTAGCATGCATTATTTGTCGAGCAGATAACAGATTCTTAAATATGAAAATGAGGATAAATGTTGAAATGATCCACACTTGGAAATGCAGAATGTTTCTGCTTATTGTTGACAATACACATTCACATAACAGGAATAGCCCTAAATGAGAAATCTTCCAAGGATTATTTTGCATAGATGTTACATTTCAATCAAACACCAGTGCAATCTTTTTGTGTCCAGAGGCAAATGAGCAATTTATATATTAGCATTAAAGATTGGTTTCAGCAACTAGTTTCTTTCGTAAGTTAATCAATGTTTTTGGCACTAATCAGTTCAATTAAAGTTCAATTGTGACAATCACTTGTCGCCACCTAATGGCTTAATGATGCAAGTTGGGCAAACACAGACAAGCAGAGTGATACAAGCAGTGAAAAGGCTGATACTGGTCAAATATTTTAACACATTTGAGGACCATAAAAATGATATATACTTATACATCATATAAATATATATTTATACTTATGAATTGAGCTTATAGGTTCTGTAATTAGCAAATAACATCTGTGTTAAATAGGAATATATTGTAATAATGTTAATCAAGCTGACTAAATCACATGACTGCACAGCAGTGAACAATAAAAAAAAAGTTAATTCTGCATTTTCAGTGTATATTTCATTAAAAAACAGCGATTAAATGGCCAGAGGTGTCGTTTCCAGACTATTGTTATCTGGTTGAATCTCCAGGTAAGACATCGCGGTACTGAAACTCTCCTGTTCGAGAGTTCATCTGGTTGAATCTTTTTCCGAGTCATTTGGTTCATCAAAAGAACGAATTGACTCGGAAAAAGATTCATTCATTTTGATAAACGAGTTCGAACGGAAGAGTCACAAACGGAAGCATTTGTGCTTATAAAAATTAAACTTTGTTATTTTTTTTTTTTTAAATGAGTGATCGTTTCGCTAGATAAGACCCTTATTGAAGAAAGAAAGACATGGACATCTTGGATGACATGGGGGTGAGTAATTATCAGCAAAAGTTTTTTCAAAAGTGAACTACTCCTTTAAGAGGGCAGCTGATATTTATTTTGGCCTATCTCCTAAAGAGGTCAGTGTAGTAGGCCTCACTTACACTGCTCTTACTAAAACCACTATAAATGCTTATCAAAATGTGAAATGTGTATATTCTTTAAATAGATTTTTTATTTGATGTAATTGATGTTTTTATTGACATCTGTAAAGCTGCTGCAACATTTAAAATCCCCAGTGCAGGATCAGTAAAGTCTTATTTTAACTTAATCATGTCATAAACAATCTCCCTCTAAATTAAAAAAACAACAACTTTTTTTAGGTGCGCATATTTGCATATGAGTTGGCAAACAGATATAGGTGCAAATATCCGAGTGGATGGGATGCCAGCAAGATGGCGGGAAAGGACTGGCTCACCTCTTTCCTTGAAAGGAACAACACCTTATATATTCACAGACCCGATCTCCTGTGAGTTTCCGTACTGACTGCCCGCACTCTTGTCTCACCTGTTATTCTCTCATTACCGTGCTGTCTGGATGAAGATCCTAAGTTTTACTAACTGTTTGTTGCCTGCAAGAGGCTTTTGTGTTTATAAGAGTCTGATTCTCCGAGACAGCATCTCTTTCTGTTGATTAAAGACTGTTTGCTGTAAGTTTGCTTTTGAATCCTTTATTCAGATCATAACACAAACACTAACAATACACACACATCTAGGTATATAAACACAATTGTTCATGAAAGCTCATTAAAATTAATAATTAAATTTCAGGTACCGCGACAGGCCAGGTGCCAAATAAAATTATCGCCACCAAGAGGAAGCGCCAGGTCGGTGCAGTGGCCTCTGGGGAGAGGGGGACATTGGTCACCGTTGCCCTGGCTGTTAATGCACAAGGCAATTGCATTCCCCCGTACTTCATCTTTCCCAAGAAGAAGTTCCAGGACCACTTTGTTAGGAGTGGTCCCATCGGCTAATAGTTCAGGGTGGATGCAGGATGTAGACTTTCTTGCCTTTCTCCAGCACTTTGCCAGACACACCCGAGTAAACCTGGAGTCGAAGGTGCTGCTCCTCTTAGGCCCCGTCCACACTACTGAGTTTTCGTTTAAAAACGGAGAATTAAAACGAATACGATCTCCGTCCACACCAGTGTTTTATCTGCGTATTAGAAATGATCTCCGTCCACATTAAAACGACTGAAAACGCGGATTATGTGACCATTCACCAACACTGGGCATGCGCGTGCCGGTGTAAACAGTGATTGACGAATCAGGGAAGGACGCGTCATGACTGATAACACCCAATCATAGAGCCGAGCGACAGCCTCCGCGTCAGCGTTTCTGAAGTCCTCCGTTTCGTCTCGTCCACACTAAAATGCCCTCCGGAGATTCAAAACGCAAAACGCAGCTGCAGCGTTTCTAAACTTCTCCGTTTTAGGTCTTGGTTTTTCCCGTTTTAGTGTGGACGGGAGGTGCAAACGTAGCAAAAGGTCTCCGTTTTTAAACGAAAACGCAGTAGTGTGGACGGGGCCTTAGATAATCTTTGGTCACACCTTTCTGTGGCAGCAATTGACTTTTGTCGGCCAAACGGGATAGTCCTACTATCTTTCCCACCCCACTGCTCACATCGTCTCCAGACGCTCGATAGGAGCATCTTCGGCCCCCTGAAGCGATATCTAAACACAGCAGCGGATCACAGGATGAGAACACACCCTGGAAAAACTTTGACCATCTATGACGTTCCAGTCCTAGTGGCCACAGCTCAGCCACAAGCAGCAACATCAGATCTGGCTTTGTGTGCACTGGCATCTGCCCCTTCAACCCAGATATTTTTGATGAGCAAGACTTCTCACCTGCCTACGTCACTGACTGCCCAGTTCCTTCACAAGTACCATGTGCTCCCACACCACATTCCAACACACACCAGAGCCTGACTGCTGCCAGAGCATCCTGCTGGTTCAACCAGGGACACCTGTTTACAGTCTGCCATCCCTGACCACCCAGCTCTCTATTCAGGTAAGAAAGAACTTGGTTAATCTTGGCTAATTAATTTTTGCTAAATAATAAGTAAATAGAATTGTGCACATGATATTAATGATTGTTTCTGTGTCTTCTGATTAAGCCATCCCTCCTGAAGAAGTTATGCTTGAGGAAAGGAACACTAGTCTAGACCTGAAATCCAGGACTTCTATCCCGGCACTCATTCCAGAAGCTGTACGTCCCTTTCCTAAGGCTGGTCCGAGAAAGGACACAAAACAGCGAGGCAAAAGGAGGTGAGTGTCGTTTGGTTTTAGCTTTTTCCTGAGTAATTTCTTTATGCATGCTGCTAACATGTGGAGAGAGGATGAGCAAGTACTGCCTGTGAATTTATAGAAATGTTAGAAACAATTTTTCTCACTTTGAATGTTGCAGATCAGCGGCGATCCTCTGCGGACTCTCCAGTGAGGGCAGCTCTGGAGGAGGAGCATCAGAAGAGGATCCAGA